CAATGGAGGCACGAAACGTGGTCTGTTCAGACTCAATATGCCCCACTTCCCCCAGAACATATTCAAAGTTCCCCTGGTGGTAGGAGTTAAAGCTCCGTCTCACAGGACACTCTGCCAAATGTTCCCAGCAGACCCTCACAACATGTTTGGGCCTGACCAGCCCTGACTAGGCCTGACCGGTGTCCTTCCCCACCACCGGGTAGTGAAGAGTGAACAGTTCAGCACCTCTCTTCACACGAGTGCCCAAGACAAACGGACGCAGAATCGATGAAACAATGACAAAGTCACCCACATTTCTTTGCTTTTACAGTTTTCTCGATTGATTTGATGCATTTGTGCACACAAATGGAAGGCTGGCTGGATGGATAATTGGGCTGAACAGCAGAACTTAGTGTTTATAACTGGAAGATTTAATTTTAAAAATTCCATTGTTGCCATTTTATTTTGTAACAAAGTAGGGCTTTATTGTGGTTCTTAATGAAACTATTTATATTTATACCTAAATACTTATATTACATATGTTCACTCCAAACTGACCATGATGGACACAGTGGCTGTAAAGTCCAGTGCATTACCACCATCTTTCATGACGTGTGGTTGATGTGTGGACCAAATGCAGCAGGCAGGAGACATAAAAGTTATGTGGTAGATTTTTAAAAAAAATCAAACTTACAAAAAAAAACAAAGCACAAGGAACAAAAATGAATGACGGGAAGAGACCATAAGGAAACCAGGAAGAAGAGACGAGGAGCAGTGGTGTGGAGTAACAAGACGAACCAGCTAGTAACAGTCTGATTTAATTAGAGATATGATTCATCTGAAAAAATTGTCTGTTTTAAAAGTTAGTTTGGTGTAAAGTGGAGCTAATCTGCCAACAAACATCAAGTTATGGACAAACATAAATACAAAGAATAGGAAAAAATGTCCTGATGCTACATCATGAAAAACAAAAATACTAATGGAACTAAATGTCCTTCATAAAAGAAACTATGAATCTTGTCATTTTATAGACCAGAAATGTTACAAGAGATTCATAAGGAACACTCTGTTATGGACAAAAGGACTCTTTGTCTTTTCTCTATCTGCTTTATCTGCTCTCACGCACAAGGCTTCTCACTGACATAACCATAACATTTAAGACTGGTGATAGTCACACAAATAAAAACTGATTAAGGCAGGCCAACACCTTCGAGGGAGCAGAATGAGGAGGAAATAAAGCAGAACTCGCGCTACAATCTTTGCTTCACTTGGTGTCAAAGAAAGGTGAGCTGAGTGGAGCCTAGAGCTGGACGGTCATTACAATATGCCACATGAAATCATTTAAACATGTTTTTGAAAAAATATTTCAAATATGTCCTGATCTTACACATTTTGTCTGAGAAAAACTCACAGGAACTAAGTTTACTCTGTGTCTCACAGGTAGGATGTTGATTTCACAAACTTCTGCACAATTGAGGCTCCAAATATATTTCATGACTGAGAAACACCAACCTTTTAGTACCTTGCTGGTCAGGCCTGGTCAGGCCCAAACGTGTTGTGAGGGTCTGCTGGGAACATCTGGCAGAGTCTCCTGTGAGATGGAGCTTTAACTCCCACCTCTGGGGGAACTTCGAACATGTTCCGGGGGAAGAAAGGGGTGTGGAGTCTGATAGGACCATGTTTCATGCCCGCATTGTCGAGGCGACATATCAGAGCTGTGGTTGTTGGTGCTTGTCATGGTAGCAACCCTCGAATCCATTGGTGGACACCTTTGGTGAGGGATGCTGTCAGGTTGAAGAAGGAGTCCTATCAGGCCTTTTTGGGTACTGGCAGTCCAAACAGCATGCGGTCTGGTTGGTTGATGAGGAAAAAATTCAGGTGTGGGAGGAGTTCAGAGAGGCCATGGAGAGAGACTTCCGCATGGCTTCGAGGTGATTCTGGTCCAACCATCCGGAGTCTCAGGAGGGGGAAGCAGTGCAGCACCAACACTGTTTGTAGTGGGGATGGTGTGCTGCTGACGTTGACTCAGGACGTTGTGGGCCAGTCGACAAAGTACTTTTAAGACCTCCTCAATCCCACCAACCTGCCTTCCATTGAGGAAGTGGAGCCTGGGGGCTCTAGGTTGGACTCTCCAATCGCTGGGGACGAGATTGCCTCTGTGATTAAAGAGCTTTTCAGTGGCAAGCTCAGTCACTTGGAAGGAACTCAAAGTAAAGCTGCTGTTATTTCATGTCAAGAGGAGCCAGTTGAGGTGGCTTGGGCATCTGCTCAAGATGCCTCTTGGACGCCTCCATGGTGACGTGTTCCGGGCATGTCCCACCAGGAGAAGACCCAGGAAACACTGGAGGGACTAAGTTTCCCAGGTGGCCTGGGAATGCCTTGGGAATCCCCCAGAGGAACTGCAACTATTGGAGAATTGAAAGGTGGCTATACTCTTAAATATATAAGTAAAAGAAATAACGCTCTGAGAAGTAGTTCTTGCTGCTAGGCCATAGACGAGCTAGAGATTTATTACACTACCACAGATTCCTCATTACATTTTCATCAGTTCAGTACTCAAAAATCTTCCAAAGTCTCAACAAAAAATCTCCCCGTATTCTTAAGATCACCCTTTTTTATACACTCTCATCTTCACTGATGTGAGTTGGAAAGTATCGACCAATGAGGTTGCTACCCTTGATTTGTGCAAAGATTCTGGCATGCCTTATACTAAGTGTGTATTGGATGACCTTTAAAATATTTGAGACATCTTTATCCAACATCTGCTCCTTCTCAGAATTGCAGAGTCGCCCAATTCTTCTCAAACTGTTGTTCTTATCTTGTCCGAACAGTATTCCTTCCAAAGCCATTTTTGGATCCATTGCTCTTTGCAAAGAAATAAGGTCAGGTTGACCAAGAGAGGCGACAAAATCCTTTCGCAAAAACAACTCCTTAAGTAGTATTTCCGTTCTTACAGAACAAGTGGCTGGGGAGAGGGAAGTCTGGGCTTCCCTTCCTAAGGTGTTACCCCCACGACCCGACCCTGGATAAATGAAAGAAGATGGATGGATGGATTTCTGAGTTTCAATTTTTTTGTTGCAATTTTACATTTACAACAAATGCAAATGCTCTTCACCATCCATCCAGTGATTAGAAGACTTTTCTGTTTTACAACATAAATAAATATATTGATGTAATGTTTTTCTACAGGGTGACGTTGGTTCAGCAGTGGTGTTCAACGGCATGATTTATGGTGTGATTACTCCAGTTGTACCAGGCAATGCATTTCAGATTCGGGTTTTCATCATGGATGTGTGTGGATTGGGTGGATAAGAACAACAATTGGGATTTAATAAAACAAACTGTAATGAAATATAATTCTCATCAAATTTCCTCTCAGATATAATTTCATTATTGTATCTTGATCAGTTTGATCCACATGTTTGTAGGAGCAGAATAAATCAATAGCTTTGTTTGTTTTCACCTAACCTTGATCTCCCTAATGGATCTTTCTCCACTCAGAAATTAACAATAAATCAATGAATGCATTGAAAAAGCAACATTTCCTGGCTGTTTGTCTTTACATTCATGGTTCAGTTTGTTCAGTTTATATTTTCCCTGAACTGACTCTGAAAATGTGACAAGTTTTTAATCACATGAAGAGGAACACCAATATCTTTGAAAACAAAGATATTAACAAATAAACCTGATAATATGCTGTACGTTTAGTGATATTTTCACAGTTGTAGTCTCGACTGGTCTTGAAATAAAATGCAGAGTCCTCAGAGAGCGAGACAAGTCCGAAATCATCAATAAATGGTCTCGAGACCAAGACCGATCTCGAGTACTACAACACTGGTGCTGAGCTCAAGCTACAGTGGTTTGACAAGCTGCTGATGACCGATATTAAGAGAGAAAAAATTCTAAAACTTATTAACCCTTTTTTAAAACCTTTTGACTTGTTATATCCTCTCTTATGCTTGGATTCAGAAAATGCTGTGCGCAAAGACTGAGATCACACAAAGATAACAGCATCACCATAATCAGCATTTATTCAACACAGATACATACCATCACCAGAAAAGCACATCAGAAAACTCAGAGCACAAACAACACATGAATTTCCCTGAGAGAGGGAAAAAGATAAAAGATGGAAACGACAAACAAAAAGCAAAGATGTCTTCGGAGAAATTGCATAGAGCAAAATCTGATGTGTTACTCCTGTGTACAAAGTTTTATAGTAAAGGAGTATTCTTGTCTTTAATTTATTCAAATAAGGCGTATCTTTGCTCATCCAACCAGGAGCTGTCTCGGACCGTCTTTAAAGTTAGAAACTCCCTGCAACTTGTTTTCAAGATCAAACATCAGTTGTCACCATTATCTAAACAAAGTGGAAGCAGAGCTTCTCCTCCACTGGCCTGAACTCATGCTGTTTTATGGCTTTATGGCTTTTCACAGATCAGTGTGAAAGCTGGAACTTCTCCTGATTGTTTCCCACACAGACAAAGGATCTTAGCAAACAATCTGCTGTAACTACAGATAACATAAAGGTCAATAGGGCAGAATAAGTTATTCATCTGAAAATTATAATTAGGCTATTTCAATCAAGACATTTTAAGTTTTAAAACTAGCATGTTTTAAATTTATTTTCTTAACACCGAGCAGCAGTCACCCGAGGCTAGCATCTCCAACATCTGCACCAAACTGGAGTGGGGTGGTAGAAATACCGCCCCAGAAGAACAGGGGGATTGTCGGGAATAAATAATTCTGTGCTTTCCTCTGTTTTAGCTAGTTGCAAAGCTAAAGCTAAAGAAAATGGCAAGTTAGAAAACACCCTCAAAGCTAAGTCTGCGGCATGTTCCTGGCAACCACTGTTGACCTGTGCTACCTCGCCTTAAGGCAAAGGCGATCCTCTGTCAGTAACACCCTCAGTCTCAAGTCATTGGCTGCAGATCTGTTAAATGAGAGTAGGGCGATGTAGTGGGCGTCGCACATTTTCATTTTGGAAAGGTGGCAACCCCACTCTGTATGCAGATAACAGCGCAGATCAGTGTCCGTCCTGTGATTGGACAGATCAGTGTCTGTCTCTCCAGCAGGAAGTTGTGAACAGAGTTTAAAAGCTGCTGCAGGACTGCAGACATTTATTCACAGGAAGCTGGACCACCAATGGCTCAGCTGAAGGTTCTGCTGCTACTGGGGCTGGGTGAGTCAGAAACACTCGACACACTGGGGAAACTGGACACACTGGAGAAACTGGTCACACTGGGGAAACTGGACACACT